AACAAACAAAAAGGACTAAGAATCCAAATGCAAACCTCTGAAAGGCCTGTGGCTTAATTTGGACATTCAAAATGCACTAGGGGATGGGGGTGGGGGTGGGGGTGGGGGGTGGGGTGATGCAGTGTGTAACTACTGAAATGTCAGCAAGCCAAGCTCAACCACGGACATTGACAAAAAGCTCATTATCTATTTGACTCTTCCTTTCAGGTTTCTTTATTTAAAAAAAAATATATCGTTTAGTTTTCATTTTGGAAAAGAAAAAAAAAGAAAAAAAGGAGCCTCTTCTTACCAACTATGACTATGAAAAAAAATAAAGATGCTAAATCATTTTAGATTACCAAATAAAATATACATAACTTAAAATATGAAAAAATTAAATAAGCGTAATTTACCACAATTTCAATTCTCTAAATATGTATGCCAGGAAGAGGTTTTCAGGAATGCTAGCCTGGATGACCAGTTTTTGAAATTTGTTCAAAATAAAGTTTGAATTTAAAAGGTTTTTCTTTTAACTTGTGGTTAAACAAGTTGTGGTTTCAAACAGACATTTGAAAGTTCTCTTATTTGAACGTGTGTTATCTCTCTTATTTGTGGCACTGTGTTACTTAATCAGTGAATTGAGGGGCCGGAGAGATGGCTCAGCAGTTAAGAACACCAACTGCTCTTCCAGAGGTCCTGAGTTAAATTCCCAGCAACCACATGGTGGCTCACAACCGTCTGTAACAGAATCTGATGCCCTCCTCTGGTGTGTCTGAGGATAGAGACAGTGTACTCATAAAAATCTTTAAAAGAAAAAAAAAAGGTAGAAACTTTTAAATCTAGTGCTCTGTATAGTTAATAGCTTCAATATAGCAAGTATTCTGATCCTGTGTATTGTTCCAGTACATTTTCTGTTTTTTTTTTTTTCTTAAATAACATATTGTGACTTCTTATGTGCGTCAAACTATCTCTACCAACTCCTCCTAATTGTCCTTACAAATTTTCCCTGGTCCATAGTTTTCTTTCTTTCTTTCTTTCTTTCTTTCTTTCTTTCTTTCTTTCTTTCCTTCCTTCCTTCCTTCCTTCCTTCCTTCCTTCCTTCCTTCCCTCCTCCTCCTCCTCCTCCTCCTCCTCCTCCTCCTCCTCCTCCTCCTCCTCCTTCTTCTTCCTCTTCCTCTTCTTCTTTGTCCTCTTCCTCTTCTTCCTCCTCTTCCTCCTCCTCTTCCTCCTCTTCTTCCTCCTCTTCTTCCTCTTCTTTTGTTTCCTTGGTTTTTTTGAGACAGGGTTTCTCTGTATAGCCTTGGCTGCCCTAGAACTCACTCTGACTAGTATTCTTTCATTTAATGCTGCAGAATACTTTTATTTTGCATTTTAAAATCAGAATATAAACCTATGGATTTTTCTAAGCACTTTCACAATACTTTGTTCTGCTGATCCTCTTGCCTGGCCCCTTCCCCTGGCTGACAGGTTCTGGCAGGAGCTGTACTGAAGTAGCCTATTTCAGAAGGGCATCATCAAGGCCATGGTGTTTTCTTCCTTTGTCGCATGATGCTAGGTAAACACAGTAAGAATTACTATATTACCTAGTTGGGTTATTCCTCATTTCAGTATGAGTTTGAGGGTAGCCTGGTCTACATAGCAAGTTCCAGGACAACCAAGATGCTACACAGAGAAACTGTCTGAAAAAAACAAAAAGAAAAACAAAACAAAGCAAAACCCTTCTACTATCTGACTCATCTCTGGAACCTGTGGATGGGAAGGGACAAGTAGACGGAGCGCAGGACAGATTATGGATTCAGGAGGAAAAAGAGGAAAATCTAAACTTCATGCCATTTTATATTAGAGAGAGCATCATAACATTAAAAACTTACTTTAAATCTAATTTCATATAGTGTGTGTGTGTGTGTGTGTGTGTGTGTGTGTGTAAAATAGGTGAGTCTCTGTTGGCATTACCCTGATTAACAATACATCTGAATAAACTTATCCTTTTTGTGTATGTTTTTGAGACAGGGCCTGACACTAAGGTCTTACTATGTAGTCCAGGCTAGCCTGAAGTTTGAAATGATTCTCCTGCCATTGTTGCCAGATGCCAGGAGCACGTGCACCACCACACCAGGCCCTTTGCTTCTTTATTTTCTTCCTTGTGCTTTGTCTACCTGATAAGTTTAACTTTCCCTGACTATTTAGAAGACTGTAGGTACTTTTCTGCTTTTAGTGGCATTTATTTATGTGCATGTATGTGTGCTGTACTTGTGGAGGACAGAGGTCAACATCTGGTATCTTCCTCTACAAATCTACCGTGTGGGGGCCTCCCACTGAACTGACCAGGCTGACTAGCCAGCAAGACTCTGATCTGTTTCTACCATCTAGCACCCAGGAAAAAGTGGCTACAGTAGTGTGTGTATGAAAGCCCAGCTCTGGGTAGGCAGAGTCAAACAAAGACTCCTGAGGCTTGCTGGCCAATCAGCCTAGACTAATTGGTGAACTCTAGGCTAATAAGAGACAGTTTCAAAATACAAGCTGGACAACTCTAGCTTCCACATTCGCTTGTATATGAGCACATGATGCACACACATACACATATACCACAATTTCACCTAATTTCTTCAAGAAGAACCATTAATAAAAAAACTAATGTATTTTAACATGTAATGTATTTATGTTATTTTAAAATTGAAAAATGTTTCAAATATGTCCAAGTTAGAGTTAGTTCTACTATAGAAAATACTGATATAACGTAAATGAATTTTTTGATATCCTCTATAGTTTTTAAAAGAAAAGGTTCAAAAAAAAAAAAAGGTTCAAAGTATAAAGATCAAAAAGTCAAAGCACCAACTGTGTGAAGTGAAGGGATGTGCACAGTGTGATACATGGTCTCTGCCATGGGATGAAGTGGGTAATCAGGAAGCTGGGTTCACAGCTGTTCCTCAGCACTCTGGAAGTAGAGCAAGGTCTTCTGGCACCTGCTGCAATGGATGGAGTTGGCTGTGCATGCACCCGTGCTTGCTGTACAGGGCTGGGTACCTTCTTTGTAACTTTCTAGTTCTTACTTTTCCTATACCCATGCTGCCCTCCAACATGGCAGCAATATGTGCTGGCACCAGTGAACATCTACTTCTGCTGCCTGATACATTGAAAGTGGATTTTTGCTGCTGTTATGCTTTTTTAAAAAGCACTGCTCTTTATAATCATTTAAAATTTTCATTTATAAATGATTATAAACTCACAAGAGGGAAAATCATTTCCTCTGACTCTTTTATGCAGTATTCCCCACTCATGTAATTATAGTCTAATATCAAGACCAAGGAAATTGACATGTGCATAACACTTGTAACAAGACTACAAATCTCACTCAGTGTCTGCCAGCATGTGTGTGTGTGTCTGCTTGCGTGCAGATAACAGAGGTCTTTTATACCATTTCTTCCCAAATACTGTCTCTATCTTCTGAATGTGTTGTCTCTGTCCTTTTGTCACTTTGAATATGTGACATAAGGAAATCACATGAGATGCAACCTTCCCAAAGTGACTTAGAGCTATCAGTGGAGTTGTGTGCATCAACGGCCTGTTCCTCTTTAGCACTGAGCAGTGTTATGCTGTTCGGGTGTTTAATGGTGCACCTTGTGGAAACTATGCCAGTTACTTCCAGCTTTCACTATGATCGTATCATTAATTCATACAGAAAAATGTAATAATAACAAGTTATCAACCAGCAAGAGAGTAGTGGTATGGACTGAACTGTACTCTTGAGAAAATAAGTCAAACTTCCACCCTCTGGTACCTGCAAATGTGTCAGTACACTGCTCTGCCCCTGAGTAGGGCATAAGCATAAATCTATACTTCTCTTGAACATACTGTCTTCTCTGCTGATTGATATAACTTTTCCTACTGTTCCTCCAGGTTTCACCTTGGCTGTCCCAGGACCAAGGGAGCTGGACCCTGCATTAACTCTGAAACACATACCTGGATCTTCTCAAAGCATCTGCTTTTACATGCCACTGCCACTTTGCCTTGGGCTGTACAGCCCCTGACAGCAGAGGCTGTTCTCCTCTCCTCTGTTTTCAGACCCAGCACACAGTCCCACCATAGTGTGTGTGGAAGGAAAGAACTGGGCACTGGGTTAAAGCATCAATCCTGCTACGTGCTGTGTGATTTAAAAAAGCTATTTAGCCTGAGTTTAGTTTCTATACCTATAAAAATTGTCACAGTTCAGCTCCTGTTTGTTACTCCATAGCCGTGTAACCTGGACCAGTTGAATCATGTCTGTCAGCTTCAGTGGCCATATCAGACAGTATCTTCAAGGTTTCAGTTCAGGTAATACCCCCTTCCTTGTTCCTCATTTCTCCTTCATACTAAGAAGGGTCTACATCTCAGCACCTTCTGAGGAACAGCTACCGATGCCTAACCTTGGTCTGAGCCTAGTGAGGAGTATCTCAGCTGACACGGCTCTCTATTGCCACGAGAGCAATAGAGATGATCCTTACACTCAAACTTACTCAGGGAATCAGAAGGCAGGGTCAGAAAGAGCTCAAAAGTCACTAGGCATAGTGGTGCACATCTGTAATCCCAGCACTCAGGAGGCTGTGGCAGAAAAATCCTGAGTTTGAGGCTGGCCTACTCTTTTGTTCACCCCAATATTTATTTATTTTTATGTATATGAGTGATCTGTCTTCACACACTGGAAGAGGGAATCAGATCTTATTACAGATGGTTGTGAGCCACCATGTGGGTGCTGGGATTTGAACCTGGGTCCTCTGGAAGAGCAGTCAGTACTCTTAACTACTGAGCCATCTCTCCAGCCCCTTTCATGCCACTCTTATCCACATGAATTCATTTTCTTGTGTCTATATCTGGAAACCTATACATTTATTCTGCAAGTAGGACCCCAGGGAGGACTCTGAGCTAGATTAGTGTGAAAGTCTGGTCCTCTAGCTAGTGCCTAGAGAGACTGACATGCCAAGAGTGCAGCTTTGGTGGCTGAGAAACCACTAAGAACTAGAGCTGGAGAACAAAAAAAGGTTTACTTGAGCTTTGGTTCCCGTCCTTCACTCGTGTACTGCCAACAGATGAGCCCAATGAGGTCCTGCACTCTGGCGCTGGCCATGGTCACCACGGTCATTGGCAGCAGTCTGTCCTGGCTGGAGTGCAGTGGGAGGTAGACGTCGATCTTCTTAGTTGCAGTTGTACCCACATGACCCTGTGAACAGAGCACACACATCAGAGTAAAACACACAGCTGTGGTCTTGCAGGCAGTAAGGATGCTAGCACAGCCATTTCTCACACAGACCTGCTCTGAGTCTAGACAGTCTCGAGGGGATCAAAGTCTACATTCAGGAAGATGAATGGGTGTTCCTAGAGGAACAAGTATGAGTGTGAGCAGAGTTGATGCTTGGTGTTGCTCTGGGTTTATTATCAACTCTCTATCCTTGGAGGTACTAACTCTGCCATCAGCTGCCTTCCCTGGCAACAGCCATGTCTCTCCTGGAGAGGTTGAAGAGGAGGCACTCAAACTGAGACAAGAGCTTGTCTATCTATGTACCTCAGAGATTTCAGGAACTAACTCCATCGGGCCATCTGCACTTCCTTCCTTAGTGCCATACAGTTCAAGAGTGCTTGGTGGTCTACCGCTGCTTATCCTACACTACTCTATGCACTCCCAATTCAGCCATCTTCTCTCCATTCTCCTTTCTGGAGCGCCAGCACTACACAACATGTCCAAGCTGCTTTTTAAACATTCTACTTCTGAGCCTTGAGCAGAAGCTGCTGTCTGAAGAGGGCAGGCCTCCTCTACCATTCCCTTAAAATAGGACAGCTTTGCTGTTTTTAACTCTTCCTTCTCCTAGGTTTTCCTTCTCCCTAGTTCTCATCTCTTTCCTCTCTAACTCCCAAGTTGCTCTGCTGCCTACAGTGGCTTCAAATTCATGATGCTCGTGCCTAAGCTGCAGCACAAACACACACCACCATGTCTGGCTCTTCAGTCATTTTTTTCATAATCCCCAAATCCTCAAGGTCAGGAGGCCAAGTAGGTAGTGTTGTCCCCACTAACATTTCCAAACTATTACTTCCCCTTTTCCTCAAAACTTCCTGTTCCAGAGAGTTTCAAACCATCCAACTCTAGCTCTGGGGTCCCCTCCTGTTCTGGTCTATGTTCTGGGCCACTGTAGCTTTGTCTTTTTCCTTTAGCTACTTTGTGTGGGTTCTGTACACAAAATAAAACACACTACAAGCCATCCCCCTTTCTCACCAGAGACTAGACTTTGGTTTTCTTGGCTTGTAGTCTTACTCACTTACAAACATGTCCAGTACATCATAAGGAGAAACATGCACAAACAGTTCAATTTATACTCGTGTCCTTAACTGCCCCACATCACCTCCTATCCCAAGTCACGGCAGCTGTCACCTCACTGCAGCAAGTAGCACCACCACTGCACCAGCTGCTCATGTCCCAGATCCTTTTTCTTTCTACTGTCTATTTGCTAGCAAGTTCAAGGACATGCACTGTAAAATTGTGTTTCAAGAACAGTCTTTGCAGCGAATGGCAGTAGGATGGCCAGAGAGCAGCATGCAAAAGAATGGACTTGCATTCCTAGCTCATAGTTCATACGAAGATAAACTATAAGAGTAAAACCATAATAATCATAGCAGGATACATCTTCATGACCTTGAATTAAGCACTGATTTCTTTAAATGACACAAAGTTAAGCAACAAAAAAATAAATCAGTTTATCAATATTTTAAAAATGTGTTCTCCAAAGAATATTGTTAAAAAGGCAATACACAGAAGGGGAAGGAAGAGCTGCATTGATCTAGTAAGGTTTACCATCAAGAACATGCTGAGAACTCTCAGGATGCAATAGAAAAGATAATCCTATTAAGATATTGGTAAAGGATTTGAGTAGACATTTCTCTGAAGAAAAAAAACCCAAGTGACCAATAAATACATGAAAGGACACTCCACACCAACTATCATAATGCGAGTACCAGCCACACAGAAGGTGCTAAGTTGCCACTGTGCAAAAGTAGTTACGATAAACTGCATGTGCACATAAGCATGTACACATACTTCCCCCACATGCACACTAGTAGAGTGTCGTCCCTCTTCTCTAAGCACATCCTGGATTTGCTTTGCAGTATGAGGGAGGGACACGACACTAAAAGCTATCATATTACAAGCCTCTTCGCATTTCTCTAGTGAGTGAATAACAATGAATAAAGTCTAAACTCACACAACACTGTGTGATCGATCTGGTACCTACCTCCTTCCCATCATCACCCAATGCCAACTCCCCAGGCTGCCCATCAGGGTTTAGCTACCTTGGCCTGGAAGTGCTCCTGGGGTGTATGTCTGGACACACATCTGTGGATACCCTGTCTGCATCTCTCGCTTTGAAGACCCCACTGGGCACTACTCACTAGATCTAGAAGGCTCTTCTTCATCACCTGTCATCCTTTAATGTTTGCTCTTGGCCATGACACTAAGTTGCTCTGTTTCTCACACGTAAAATGATAAGACTCTCTTGAGGACTGATGCTGAAGCCTTAGCTCCTGGGTTCTACTCACAGCTCCTTCACTGATGACACGGAAGAAAGAAGCCCTTCTCAGTTACTCTCTGACAGGTTCCCTGCTCATTCCCTTTGTACCCTTTAACAATTTAGGATTATGCATTTATTTCTGTTCATCTTTAGTGCATGCTGTTCCCACCAAATTGGTAATAGTGTCTTTTTGCTTCTTACTCCAAACACCATGTCTAGCAGTGTGCCTGGCAGACTGAAGACCCCCCCTCCTCAAAAAAGAATCTGATAGCCAAGGCATGCTATTCTGTTGACCCAGCTAATTGATAGGATTCTTAAGCCCAAGAATTTGAGGTCTGCCTGGCTGGCATGGCGGAACTTTATCCTTACACTAAATGCCAAATGAACTAATAAAACACCGTGGAATGTCCTAAATGCATACTTTTTGAGGAACTCAATAAATCTTCATTTCTTTTTTCCCTCTTGCCTTTTTTTCATAAGTTTGTTTCTGATCATACAGGGAAGCATAGAGATTTACCCAATCATATGGCTTCACTTTATAATTCTAGCATTCTAAGAGTCCAAACCTGAATAAGGAAGGTAAGATAAAGTTGGTTTTAAAAGTACTTTACATAAATGTTACTTCTCTCTCAATCCAATAACTAATATTAGGCCAAGTGATGGTCCCCAAGTCTAAAGGCATCAAGTGAATAAGAAAGTCAATTCTCTACAATACTCCTGTCTTTTCATAGGCACAGCTTTGAATGCCTTTGTGTGCTTTTTGCATAGAAATAACAACTGCAGTAGTTAAGCCAGGCTTCTCCACCAAGCATGATGACACTGAGGCAGGCCGAGGGTGAACTAATCACAGAGGAACCTCCCTGGAGAGCTGTGACAGCTAGTCTTGGTTGTCAACTTAACTGCAGCTAGAACCTCAAGCTAAAACCCAAACTGCCTGGTATACCTTTCAGGGACTTTCTTTTTCTGTTTTGTGTTTTTGAGTCAGAGTTTCTCTTTGTAGCCCTGGTTGTCCTAGAACTAGTGAGTGCTGGGATTAAAAGTGTGTACCACCAGAGTCTGGCTGAGGGATTCTTCTTAGTTGAATTCTGAGGTGGAAAGACTCACCCTAAACCTGGGCTACTGCAGGTGGCAGTCCACATAAAAGGCACGGAAGATGGAAGCCTTGCTCTTGGCCAGCTTGCTCTCATTCCTGCTGGCAAGTCTACCTCCCTGTTGCAGAGCCAGACTGCAAAGAAGCCTGAAAACAAGCCACTCTCCAGGAATCCTCCTAGGCTCAAGCAGCAGGCTAGGACTGCTAAGACATCCAGTCTCATTGAATAACAACTAGATTCTTGGCTTTTCACTGGGACAAAGCCACTGTAGACTGTCCGCGCGCGCATGCACACACACCCCCCGCTCTTCTCTTTCGCCAGCCTACTGCTTTCCCTTTTTACCCTCACTTATTCCTGCTGCTACTGCTGTGGAATGGCAGCTGAGAGGTCACAGACAGGGCTGACATAGCAAGACGTGGAAACCTCGGGGCAAGACAATGAGAATCTGCTTCACAAACTGTAATGTGCTTCCTAAGTGCAGAGCAGCTTACTAGATGCTTCTGATTTCGGATCCATTCTGATCTCATGAACATGAGGCCTAAAGAGATAGCACACACGCTCTAAAAAGAACACTGACAATTCTAGTAGAACAGACATTTGCTTGGCGCTTTGGCTCTCTCTTATTTCTCAGCTTCTACCTTTATATTCCAGCGGAGAGAACTAAGGCTTCCGACAATACAGTGTCCTGCAAAATGTTCCACAGCCACATGGAAGAAGCACAACAGCTCAACCTGAGCCACGGTGAGATGACTCCAAAACCACTGTTCTGAATATCCAACTCCTTCACCCCCTTGGTCAGTCCAAGTGCCAGTAAACCCCACTTTCTGCAGCTCACCTTCTCTCCCCCTTTGTTCTCACAAATACAGCAAAAGATTCATGTTGAGCAGCCTCCTACAGAAAGATCTAGATCTGAGGGAGGAGAATATAAAAAAATACACAGAGACTCCCAGGACCTCCCCTGATCCTAACTGCAGTTAGTTAGGAGACCCTGGCAGGTGTTAATGGCATATCCTATGGTCTCTTAACCCTGCTCATTTCATATGAAATCAGAAAAAAACACAGAGATGCTTAGTAAATGAGTGAAGCGCTTTATCATTTCAATTTTCTACTTCCATCTTGGGAAAGTGCCTTGTACAAACCCTGAAATTATCTACTTTAATGAGAAGGCTCTTCTGAAAAGCTCCAGGTGGTGGCAGTGCGCTTGATCCAAGAGTCCCTGTGTTGCAAGATTTAGAGAAAATCATCTAAAACATAAAACAATCCATCAACATAATAGAAAGTAATTAACTTATAAAAAAAATAAGGTGACCAAAGGATTAAAAGTATTCATCACATGAAGAAAGCAATATTCCAGAGGCCTAACATCCAAGTATTAAAAAGCAACTAACAATAAACAAAGATCGTGTCACACAGCTTTACTGCACAGCAATTTATGTGCTCCCCAATACAGGATTGGGGAGATAAAGCCATAATTAGAGCACAAGAGAGGGCTTCACAGGGACCAGATTCAGCTGTATCTTCCTCCCCTCCCATGCATTCAACAAACCCCCAGTGTGCCACCACGCTGGGGCCTG